TGCTATAGAATCCCTACTTTACTCCCCTTCCCCATATGAAACCCTCTTCCTATTAATAAAACCACCACATTTAATAAATTGAAAAAAAATCCATTTGATGCCATCTTGGGTCTTCCCAGGATTGTAGATTCGAATGCTTGCGTGATCAATCATGAGAAATTTCCGGTTTCTAATTTATTTCTGGAATACTCTTCTATTTAATACATGATAATTTATTGAATTTTTATTATTTTCATGCGATATTCAGAAGAATACTAAATACTAAATACAATTTTATGGACTGATAATCAACACTAAATACTTTTTTATTTAGTGTCTGTTGCAGAGTTAAATACTAAATAAAAAATTATTTAGTAAAATTTCGGAAGGAGAAACTTGGGAAATTTGATTCGAGAAATTTCTATAGAAAATATATCAATAGAACAAGTTGTATAAAAAATTTGAATTCCATTGATTTTTTCCATAAAACATTTCCCACTGAAAATTTCAATTGAGGATGAAAGACTGCTAATCTGCAAAATTTTTCAATACAATCTACCAGAAACTAAAGAAAAGTTTAATAGAAATTCAGTTGAGTTTTCTATCAAATACGCTGAATTTCTCTGTTTAATTTTTGCCGTACGTAATCCTTTAAATAATGAAGGACTCACCTGAGAAGTCTTAAGAGAATAAGAATTTTGACGATACAAAACTATCAATGATTGACCAAACCATTTATAATGACAATACGCAGATACATATATAAGAATCGAGTGATAGTCTAGTGGTAAGGGCGTTAGGTTTGGATAATTTACGACATGAGTCAGGTCGCCCGGTAATATCATCACCATTCCCTGGTAAATGTTGAAACTATTACAACATCGAATTAGTATTCAAAGCGTAAATGTTAAGAAACGAAAATATAATCAAAAGAAGAACTGAGGCTGACAGATGGCTTCTCTCTTCACGGAAAGCGTCGTTTTTTGAATCTTACATCACCGAATTTCATCAGACGGAGAGGACAGGTTCCTCCTGATAAACTAATAACAACCCGGAAAGGGGGCCAAGCAAGTTGCAAAAAGAACAACACAATGCAAATTAACAGCTGCTAGAGTCCAGCGTGTACTTGATTTGACAGAATTAATTGCTTCGTTCTTTAGGACATTGTGAGACAAAATAAATCAAATTACCTGATGCATGGGGTAAGTAAGAAATGTCTCGAGAGATCTACCACGACAGGCCATTTTATTCTCAAGCCGAGATAGCAGAGCTGCAAACGACGGTGCTGATTGCTTGCACTCTGTTAATACCTGAAGACTATAGTGATGATTTCTGACGTACTCCTGATAAATCGATAACATTGGTAGCAGCATGTCGAACAAATCACCTGAAATACATTTGTTAAATTTATACATTACTCATCTCATTCTGGTTCTATTTCTGCACAAGTTTTTCTTCTATGATTTTTCATAACTCATTTATCATATAATTTGCCTTTAGGGAGCCCTCGCAGTGGGCAAGGTGAGAATGGGCGCACGGGTGAGTAGCATCGAAAATGTTCAAGTAAGTAAACTCATTTTCGAGCGAATCGAAATATAAAACATGGCGTATGTTGGATAATAACAGACATGCCAAGTATTTATATCGCAGATTTATTGAACTATCAACGATAAAGTCCAATGACATTCCGTGTCCATATTTTTTCCCTTGCCAAGAGTGTGAGAGAGAAAGAACAAATAAGTCTTCATTGGATAATTCATTAATCACCAACGAAACTGCAAATCAATCCAGAATTTCAATTACAGTACTTTTTTTACTATTCTTAATTATTATACATTTACTGTTGAATTCAAGACGTAAGGCTACGCACTTTGAAAAATAATTTGTTGGAAAATAATTACTAAGCGCTTAAAAAAAATTCTTTAAGGCATGATTATCTAGAAATAATTCTAGAAAGAAATATTTATTTCAACAAATAATTTTCCATAAACATAAAAAAAAATTGTGAAAGGAGACGTAAAACTGGGTGCTGGGGGGCACGGTGAATTGCACATGTCTGTTACAGAACCAGTTCTTCTTGTGTCGTTTTGCAAAAATTACTGTAGATACTCTAATTTTCCCTGGAGCGAATGATGCAAAGTTTTTATTAATCCGCCAATTCGTCAACTCATTTTTAATGTAAATATGCCAGTTCCCTATGACACCATCTACTGATAACAGGTGAATGATACTTGCATGTAAAAGTAGTGAAAAATGTAGTCACTAAAATTCAATACTTGTCGCCACCCGTGTACAAATTACTCCATTCCATGCCCACTTGTTATACAGCCAAGCCGGGACTGAGGCCAATATATTGTAGAAAGACCAGCAAAATTGTTAGTAATTTTCCTTCTCTTAATGGAAAAGGAAAGTCACCGGACTGCGGGCCTCTGTACTCCTTGGTTTATATCGAGAATTAGTGCATAAATGGGTCTCGGAAATTGGGCGCAGGATCTTCCATACAAAAACAAAGGGTACTGAGGGTTCCTCATGAAGACAGCAATAAATACTTCCTACCGGGTGGTGTTTTTCATTTTCCGGTAAAATAAGAAAAAACAATAACCATTTTCCTTATTATTCCTCAATAATGACAAGTATTGAATGTTGGTATCTAAATTTTTCGCTATTTTTGCATGTAAGTATTATTCGCCTATTGTCAACAAATCGCGTGATAGTAGACGTCTATATTTGCATTAAAAACGAGTAAACAAATGAGCGGATTAATGGGAACTTTGGATCATTCACTTCAGGAAGGATCAAAATATCTACAGTAATTTTTACAAATGATAGAAATTAAATTGATTCTATAACAGACATGTAAACATCGCCAGCATCTTATCGTATTTAGTCTAAAACTACTGAGATCTCTTAATTTTCTCTGAGGAAAGTGACGAAAAATTTTCCACTAAATGAGCCTTTCTAATCCACATGCGATGTCGTAGCAAAATGGAATATTTCTTTCTCTAATAAATTCAATATTTCTCGTTTATCCAAACTAGGCACAGATGGAGGAGAATAATCAAAAATACTCACCGAGTACTAAAGTTGGCCAACTCTCCATACGTGACGTTAGACCTTTGAGGAATATCTGATGTAAAAATAGTACAGTCTCACTATTCAAAAAGATGCTATTCACATCTTCATGACTGCAAGGTGGCCTTTTTGAACTCGCTGCCATTTTGAAAGGCCTCAAAAAACAACTTACAAGCGTACCCATCTGTTCTGTATACTCTTCCTCAGCTTCAACCATTTGAAACACCAAACTGAAATATTATATACATGGTATTAGGGTTTTAAGAGAATTTTCATAGAGTGATAAACCTTCTTTTTCATTTATCTATAGAATGTTCTCATCAGTAATGGCATGGCGTTAATTAGTGGGTGCGGGTTATGAATATTGGGGAGATATCTCGACATTCTGTACATGTTGCTAATGAGCATAACTGAGAAACTATGTATGTGGCGAAGAAGATCGTACTCGATATTTGTTGATGAAATTTGGCATGAAGATCATTTAATATCATCTAGCGATTAGTGTAGCAAACATATATGAAAATTTCGAAATAAACAAATCCATCACTTCGGAATACGTTTATATAGACGATATTCAAGGTTTGTCAAAATCACTGTAACGTGACATTTTTGCATGGGGGTTAAAAATGTCTATTACGTTTGCTCTTTTTCCCCTGAATCTAGTTAAATTCAAAAATTCAAAAATCTGTGGGCGCCAGGCAATTTTTAGCCGGAATTACCAAACCGCAGGAGTCTACAAAATCAGTTCTAACTAACTCGAAAACCTCTAAAACGTATGCAAAAAGGGAGAAAACTAGATTTTTGGGGAAAGGTAACGGTCCTTGGTTTGCTCAGTGTGCTAGGTTGTGGTGAAAACGGGTAATTGGGCGGTCAAAACTACAAAAAAAAAGAGATCGACCTTGTCCTTACTTGTTCCACTATTGAAATTTCACAATTAAATAATTTACATGATTTTCACATATTGGTCTTATCAAAAAAAAGAAGAAAAAAAAGATTTGCAACAATAACTATCACTCTTCTGACAGACCGAAAATAATAATTTGAATTGAAATATGTAGTCCCGAAAATAATACATTATCGATTAACTCGGCTAGAAAGTTGAGGTCATCAAATTCCTCAAATGGTAATATAAAAATATTCGGTAATCCCAAAATACTCGAGAATTCCGAGAACTGGGGGAAAGGTATGCGAATACCCGTGAGAGTGAGAGAGCGGGGACATAAACCCAGCGGTATACGTGATCACAGTTGAATTAAATTTTTTTTAAATAGTGCTATAATTGTGCGATAAACAGTTATTCCTTTGAAAATTGTTCATGAAAGTATTAAGTCAAATCCCCTATTATCTATGTTCAGGATTTTTTTTCAACTACTTAGTTACTCGGTTTCATTGAGAAAATCTCGAATTTTATAAAAAGGATATGCCACGGTAGTAACATTCACGTTGGTTTCAGCTTTCTAGAGCTAAATAAACGGTCAGGGAATGACATCTATTTTATGGAATGCCATAGTGTTTCCCGACATCCGGAAAAATGTGATTATTACACAGTCCTAGAAAATTCGGGCTTATTTTGGCACAGAGATGAGACTACCATTACTTAAGAGATTTTTTCACAGTGATTTCAAATCTGTCGGCCAAATCTCTTAAAATGTCCTAGTTTTTGGGAAAAAAAAGGTAAAATGCTCAAAATGATCCAAAATCGCCTTTTTCAAAATTTAATAAAAAAATTATGCCTGTGTTGATTGAGCTGAGAAAAAAAAACAAACAAAAAGACCGGAAATTATACTTCCAGATGGTGCAGAGTAGTTTTCGTCAATAGCTGGAAATTATTGTGATGTCCAAAAATTCAAGATTCTATATCTTTTAAATAACTCTTTTTAAACATAAGAATTTTAGATACGGAATGCGAGGTTTGACGAGAACTGCAGCCTAAGCAATACGGCAGGTGTTCGCGAATGCATACCAGGCATCACGCGCGTCACTTGCAACACACAAAATTGCTGAAAAAACAGATCGTTCCCATCCTAAATAAATTAGAATTGGGAAAATCACGCCACCTCTTCCACCAATCAAAAACTGCCGCGAATATTCCGCGATCCTAGCAACTCCAAAAAATGCATATTATAATCAGTCTAGAAACACCTTCGGAGTTGTAGTTATCTCGATGGAGTCTTAACGTGGAATCGATCTGTCTCTTCGATCCTCTGCGTAATAATTCGCATAAAAGTCGATATTACGCGCACTGACTAGTTGAATAATAGTAAACTAGTGATCGGACTGAAGTGGACAGGGATCTGCGATCCTTTAATCGAAATTAGCACTAGCTTTTGCATTTTAAGAAATAAACTATAATTACGCGAGTGTAGACATTCTCAACAAAAACATTTAAAACCAAACCAACTTTTCATAAACTGAAGTGGGTGAATGTATTTTAAAGACAAGTATTTATGATAGTGTTGAGTGTACAAGCTGATCACTGCTAAAGAAAACGTCCTTGAAGTACCGAAGGATCCATACTAATTTAAGCAAACTGCAAACCTAAATGTGAGTAAAACAACGAACAATTCACGTCAATATTCAATCAACCTGTCAAACTTGAAAAGAAACCTTCCAGGGAAAATTCGGCTTTAAAAGTAAAATTCATTAAGAAAGAAATCTAACCAAATTCAAAAATTTGTGTAATCGAAAGAAACACGAAAAATAAATTGAATTTTTTGGAGCATAACCATAACCGGGAATCTTCGACTGAATTTCCTCTCATCCTCAGCAAGTCTGGAATTCCCTTCCAAAATTTAATGAAATAAAATAGTAAACAAGGTAAGAGCTATAAACGAAACTTAGCGTCGTCCAAATAAAGTAAAATAACGGTAAAATATAAACCTAAATTTCTCATCCGGAACTTTAATTATTAATCATTTTACCTAAAGCATTCTAGCCTCACATTACCGGAATTCACATAAATTCATAAAGTTGTCCTTTGACGCTGATAACGTCTCTGGACATAGCATTATCTACAATAAACTCCGTAGTTGTTCAATAAAATTTCATTCATTTTTCAAAAGAATGTTATGACGGGAATAGTCTGAAGTTGCATCGCCACGTGGGGTTTCACCCGCCAGATTCAAGGGTTAAAATGTTCCACCCCTCTTCGCATAGTGAAAGAGAATATGTACCAAAATTAATTACATGTTTTGCATGGAATATGTAAGAAATGCCTGAAATATTCCTATTTAATAGATTTAAGAGATAAAATGTACAATTGAAACGTATTTGACTCCAGAAAAATAGTATAAATCACCGGATTTCGCAGTTTTTTTACGGTAACTTATGAAATACCTATTCCTATCAACTCTTCAGTATCTCTAAATACAAAAAATTAATAAATATGTGAAATTTATCTTCAAACCGTTCTTCTATTTGATACATTGAGTTATTACACGTATGAAAAAATTGAATACAAAACTCTAGCGTGATCGTTAGAAAATTCTATTGAATTTCTATTAAACTTTCTATTCGTTTTTTCCGATTCTATTTAAATCTTCAATAGAAAATCTTTTATGGAAAAAGTCAATAGAATTTAATTTTTCTATTCAACTTATTCAGTTGAGATATTTTCTATAGAATTTCTTTGGCTTAAATTTTTCCATTTTTTTTCATTCTATTTTTCATTTCTTTTAATTAAAAAAATTAAAAGAAAACTTGAAAAATTTGAACCGAAGAAATTCTATAGAAAATATCCCAATAAAATAACTCAGTATAGCAACCGCGGAGCTGGCTGAGTCCCAAAATGCTGCTCCGAGAATTATCTCCGAAATGACTAGGTTCTAATTACCAAAACAAAATCAGAAATGCGTGTTAACAGAATGGATTTAATCAAATAATTCTAAAACACAAATCAGAGTACAAGTAAAATGTGCTAGTTAAAACCGCGTCTTATCCATAGTAAGGTCTGCACTCAACTCTCATAATAAAAAATCCAACAAAGACGCGAAAATAGCCAAATAAAATAAATAAACGACTAATGCATGGATACAACATAAATCCCTAAACATAATTTATCAAATAATAGAATACTAGTCCAATATATGTGAGTCAAAATAAGTCAAATAATTAAAAGTCAAGTAAAATAAAAAAACTAGCAAAATCATCTAAAAGTCAAAATAATCACGGCAGAAATCTACTAATACCACAAACTGAGCGCATCCACGAGGAGTGGCGAGAATAAGAATCTGACTTTTCTAGGGATTGAGAGGGGGCTTGCCTGAAGTTGAAAACGTACACAAGACAAACGGTAACCGACAACATGAGGTCACCCGGCAACAAAACACAGATGTCGAGCGTTAATCACGCTATAATCACACTGACGATACCCAGGAATATTCGAAATCTCCGACCGAATAAATTCCGAAATTAAACGCGACAATAATTGGCTGTCGAAGGCGGAGAAAACTACGAAACCATCTCGAGAGGTATCAATACCGACCTCGAGATTGTTATTACACCGAAATATCCGAAAACCGATATCTAACGGCGAGAATGACGAAACGAGAGTCAAGAGAAACCTAATACTTAGAACCACTGAATTTAATTAGAGAAATCTACTCAAAAATCCAAAAGTTAACCGCACAAAATATTAATTAAACAACAAAAGTTCAAGATGGTGGAAGTAGTAGTTGTGGTGTGTTTGGCTCTGTCCAAAATCAATCAATTCTAGGAGTTATCAACACTCGTGTTCAACAAACTTAGTGATTCTTGTGCGTGAACTATCACTCTTCCGAATGTGTAATTAAACTCATCGTGAAATAAAGTGCTTGTGATGTATTTTATCGGTTTTATTTCTGATACCACGCTGAATTATTATTATGATTATATAACTCAGGTGTAATTGAACTTGATATCATGTGATTTGTCCTTCTGTCGATAACTACGCACCCAATATTTTCCACCATGAATCAATCAGCTTCAGTGCCCCCCGATATCAGTGTTTCCAATGACTTAGCAGTCTCTGTTGCCGGTAATGGTGATACAGGTGATACCGGCTCCACTATTTCCACACAGCGCACAGCTGATTTGACACCATGACAACAACCGTGTGCGCTCAGCTGTTTCGCGTGTAATCGAAATATTTTGAAAGACAGTGTACTATGTTTTGCCTGTGGGAAACCATATCACTCGAGATGTGCATCTCAACAAATGAGAGTTATTAGTGGCGGTTTCCACAAATGCTGTGGTCCGAATACAACTAAAACAATAACCAGGTCCAGTTCCCCCAATGCGACGGGATCCGTACTCAGCAATGATGAACGTGAAAAATTTATGTCTGTAATTCGTGATATGGTGGCACTCCAGATTAAAACTCAGTTCGCGGGTATAGTGACAACTGTCTGGAGGACTTCAAAAGTCAATTATCAAACAATCTTGCAGAAATTAGGCAGTTGATTTCGGACCTCCAACCCACAGTTTCAACCAACGAAATCAAACATAATGCCGACATTAGCAACATTAACTCTCGTCTTGAAAAGATTGAAACTGTGGCTATTAACAGGGTCAACGATGTTTCGCAAAATGTCGTCTCACTCGCTACCAGTGTAGAGCAAGTAAAGGCACAGGTTTCTGATTGGGGAGTGAATAATATAAACACTGGTGCGAATAATTCCGTGTTAAATGGGGGCCTCAATGAGTTTGAGGATCGACTGTCTCGCAAACGCAACATCTTGATTTTTGGTATCCCGGAGACTCAGGGTGGAGACGCCACTCAGCGGAAGATGAATGATCTTGATCATGTTGGGAGACTGTGTAATGAACTTTCACTAAATGATTCCCTAGTTGATGTGAACTGCTATCGTCTAGGTAAATACTCCCCTGGTCTTGGTCGTGCTAGGCCTCTCAAAGTTATTTTATCTTCTTCTGATAAAGCCGCTACTCTGATTCAGGTTACCGCACAGAAGAGGAAACTCCCCTCTGCCACCCCGTTTCTGAGACAATGTATGATCCTGGCAGACCAGACCGAACTCCAGAGACAAGATTGGAAGAAACTAAAAACAGAGTTAGAGGCGAAGAGAAAAACGGAGAACAACCCGAACCTGAGGATTGTAACCCGAAATGGTGTCCAGAAGATGGTGTCAATCCCACCGCACCTAAATCATCAGGCCTCTCACCACCTCACTCAGTGAATACAATGACATTCAATAGTTCACCCAATGTCAATCGTCAGGCAGTGCTGAGAGAGTCATCTTTGGGTGTCTACTATCAAAATGTCAGTGGTATGAACACGAAAGCGGCCATCGTTCGACTTCAATCACCTCTCCTTGACGAAGATTGCGTGGCAGTTACTGAGACTTGGCTCTCTGAGGATCGGCACTCTGCGGAATTCTTCGATCTCGACTTATTTTATATCTACAGAACTGACAGGCGTGATCCTGGGAAGAAGACTGGCGGAGGAGTCCTCCTCGCCTTGAGGAAATCTCTGAAATCGATTGTCATTGACTTGAATAACCTGAACTGTAATTTTATAACTATTGACACGGTTGGAGCTGAAATTGTTTTGGAGACAGGGAATGCGTGTGCCTTTGTAGTCTGTGTACCACCAAATACGAATACAAATGTTCTAGCTGATTATCTGGATGTTTTAGGCTCTGTCAAAAATTTCAATGTCAAAAAATGTTTAATTGTTGGGGATTTCAATTGTCCAGAGTTTGTAAGTGTTGAGTTAGGTCCGAGTTCAGTAATAATTAATAATTTCTCAACGCAAATTAGTGTTGAACAATGGAGTAGTGTGAGGAAGTGTCTCGATCGGTTGCTTGATCTAGTTTTTTATAAGTCGTCATGTAGTGTCGTAAGATTACCTCTTCCATTGTTCAAAGAAAGTAGGCATCATCCAGCTTTGTTCATAAATATTTTCAACAACAAAAAATGCAGGAATAATATTATAATTCAAGATAATAACAGATCTAACGATTGTCATGGAAAGACATGTTACTTCAGAAGGATTGATATAAACACTTTAAAAGGTCATTTTGCTAATACTAATTGGTCAGAATTGCATGTTGATTTCGACATGGATACACTGTATGATTCATTCTATGATAAAATCTTCAAGATATTTGGAATTTTGTTCCAATAAAACCTGTCATGCATTCGGCCAGAAGGCACCCTGCCTGGTACACACCCGAAATGATTTCTGATCTGGGGCTCAAAGATCAACATAGTTTGAAAAGTATTAAATATGATCCTCAATTCCACAGGGATCGATTTCTTGCCTTGAGAAAAAAATTAAATCTGAGTATTAAAGTAGCACATGAAGCGTACATTAGTCGAATTGAAAGTTCTTTGTTAGTTAATCCCTTACGTTTCTGGTCATTCGCTAATATATCTAAACAAGACTCAGGAATCCCCTGTCCTATGATGTTGTCCTATCATCCCCCTCCGACATTGCTAGTGGATTTAGGGCTTTCTTTGATAGCGTCTACGTAGCAACAAGAACTGATGTACCTCCTCCGGTTAAGCCTCAATTTTTGGGAAATAATATTTCTTTTGATAGCAGTGAGATTTCGATGGCAATTAGGAGTCTAGCTCGGAAGCCCTCAGCTGGCGTTGACCAGGTTCCATGTGACCTCATCCGTGGAGCGTACGAAATCTTCACTCCCCCTCTGAGGATCATCTTTAACCTGGCCATTAGCACTGGGATTTTTCCGACTAGATGGAAAATGGCGAAGATTTGTCCGGTGTTCAAGAAAGGAGCTAAGAACCAGATCAAGAACTATAGACCCATTGCCGTGCTCTCTATCTTCTCCAAAGTCTTAGAAATTTGTTTGTATAATCGGTTGTTCAGCATTTTCTCACCACATCTGATCAGCGTTCAACATGGATTTGTACCTAGACGTTCAACTGTCACCAATCTTGCCATCCACACGCAGTTCGTCAGCTCTGTCATTGCTCGGGGGGGGGGCAGGTGGATGTTATTTACACCGATTTTTCCAAGGCATTCGATAGGGTTGACATTAGTGTT